TCCGTCGCCACCACGCCCCCTCACCGCCCCGTGGGGCAGCCGCCGCCGCCGCCGCCGCCAGCGCCAACGCCAACATGAACAACGAGGAGATTATCCAGGAGGTGCTGCAGGGCCACCTCACGTCGCCCAAGTGGCCCACGCCGCGCCTCGTCAAGATCTTCATCGCCTCCACACGCTCAGGTAGGACTCGCGAAACGCCACCGGTAGATCGTTAAAATTCCTTGGAAAGATAGAACAAAGATCGTTTAAAATCACGGTTTCGCGAGGCAATAGCAACTTCATTGCTTCTACATGGCATAGTTTGCTTTCGTATCATTTTGCAATGAGTCAACAGAATGTAAAGAACAACAACACCATCAAAACAAATTATTTGACTCTGAATATAGAATTTGGTTTATTTAATTGATATTAAGAAAGACAACTGTTCACGAAGTGTTGAATTATAAGTATTGATTGAAATTTCAAATATATTATACAATAAGTACTAATCTCGCTACATTCGCGGGAGTAAGCTTCCCAAAAAGCACCGCGAATGTCAAATCCGCTAATGTTGAGTCTATCTTTTAATAAATTCGTGGCGTAGATTCCTGGAACAAAAACATGTTTAAAAAAATTAAAAATAAAAAGGAAAAAAAATATGACTAACAGTGTAGTAGAACCGAGTAAGCGCTACGACAAATAGAATTCACAATTGACATCCCAAAGAGAAAAAATAAAACAATACTTGAAACTTATTTCAAAGTTGAATGTGATGGGATATCGAATTTGATTATTTTTTCGTTTCACCATCCTCCTTGTTATTCTAATACCCATGTAGGAAGAGTTTCTGCTTCTATTTCTCTCGTAAATTTCGAAATTATTTCCATATTTATACCAGAATGCCCTTTGTTGCCTTTTGTTGAAGTTTTAGAGCGCCATTAACAGTTTTGACATTGAAGTTGCCCCAGGACGCAATTTCGCTTCCGTTACGTCATCATTACGTTCTAGAAGGTTTTCTTCGCTGATACTTTCTCGAAGCTCCTCTCCAGTGACGTCAGTATACACAGAGTTACAAAGATCCTTATTTTTTTCTGTTCATGTAGCCTAAACACTTACTTCCAATTTGACGTGTGGCGTCGTTAACACGAGGGCCAGAACCGTTGGGTCGGTGAAAGTACGCTGCGGGGGAGGAAGGGGTTGA